ATAAAACTACTTGTTTTTATCATTCTAGTCTTGTTTTAATGGAAATTAAATATTATTCGAGTAAAACTTGAATTTCTTGCATTAAGCACAGCATAAATTTTTGCGCGATAAAAATTATTTATTTTCACACAGTAAAAAATTTTGCGTCAAAAAATTTTGTGTTAAATATTTAACGCTAAATTTTTATTATGTATTTAGAAAAATTAAAATTTACAGGTGTAAAAATCCCATAAGACTTTTCTGTCTAAATTTTAAATTTTAATATAAAATAATTTTTAATAAAATTAATTTTTTTATGACAATAAAGTTAGCAGACGTCTAAAAATTTTTGATTTATTTTTATTAATTAAATTACAATTAAAAAGATATTTATAAAAAATTGCACTTAGGTATAGTTTTTCGAGTTTTTTACATGTGAAATTTTTTTTTTTTAATTGTTTAATTGAAATTTTTTCAATAAAAAAATTTCTAAAAATTTTCTAATGTCGGCTAACTTTATTTTCATAATTTTTTTTTAAATTTCACCCCGAGGTTGAGTAAAATTTTAGAAAACCATTTATATTTTTATTCACCCTCTTTTTTTTTTTACCAAGCATAATTGTGTAGCTTATAAATCGGGTGGAGTAGATAAGAAAATAATAAAAATAAAGAGAAGCGATACTTAGAGAGCCGGGGTAGTCACAGTCAACAGACTACGCTTAGTTGCGAGGGGGTGACTCGAATCCCGTGGGGTTGAAATGTCGAGCGGGGATGAATTAAACGGCGGGTTTATTTGACGCATGCGCGATCAACAAACAGCAGGTAGTTGCACGAGTTCTCTCCAACCAGTTATCGTTGAGTCCTGTTGAAGATCGCTCCGGCAGTCGGGTTTCGATTTTAAAAACAAAAACAAAAATGATTAGTTAATTTGAAAATTTTTTTTGTTAAAAAAAAAAAAAACAAGACAGTAAATAAATAAAATGGTAAAGTTGAAACTGAAAAAAAAATTAAAACGGGACTAAATTTAGGAAGCTGTTGGTCGAAAATAAAACTCATTTCGGAAGAATTAATAGTAAAATAATTATTTTAGAGAGGATAAATATAAATTAAATGAAGTAAGTTGATAAAAAAGTTATTGGGCCTTGGAGGGAATGTCACGGGTGATGATCAGGCTGGTGACTGGTAACTGGTGACTAGTGTCTGGTACTGGTACTGGTACTGTACTGGTCTTGGGTCTTTGGCTCGCCAGTAGCTGTTGTGCACCTGGAGCAGCTGTAACGTGACAATGCCAGTGGCCGCGAGTATGCGGGACATTGTTATGTGATCAGCTGATCTGTTTTTCTGGATCCGGGTTCAGATAGAATAAGTTGTAGTTATAGTTATAGTTGTAAATATAAAGAAATAAAAGTGATTACAAGACGGGTATTTGTTGTGATTTTCAGAAGGTGCTGTGATTTTTCACATTTAGCTGATGTGAGTGCTCGGGGTGCACATGTGCGCGTGTGTGTCCGAGGGCGCGAAAAACGCATCTGGTAACGCAAGGGAGATAAGTGTGTTGTAATCATGCCGGCTAGAAAATACCGAAGGGATACTAGTGAAGTGAGCTGTTGCCTCAAGTATGTGATCTTTGGATTTAACGTCTTGTTTTGGGTGAGTTTACTTTTTTTTAATCCTGTCAATTTCATTTATTAAGCTGTTGTTTTGTTATGAGTTATGACTCTTCAAAAAAATTATTCGAGTTATTTTATGATATTGAAATTAGTAGACGTTTAACAATTGTTTTATTTATTTTTTTTTTTTTCATTAATTAAATTCAAATTAAAATTAAATTTATCACATTAAAGTTAGCAGTCACTTAACAATTTATTAATTTTATTTATCAAAAAAATTATTTAAAAAAAATTGCATTTTTTTAAATTTCTACATGTCAATTTTTTTTGTCATAATTTATTTGCTATAAAATTTTTAAAATTATTAAATATATGCTAAATTAATTTTCATATAAAATTTTTTTATTTATTTAAATTTTCTACATGAGGAATTTTTTGTAATTAATTTTTGAATATTAAAAATTAAAAATATTGTCAGATATCTGCTAACTTTATTTTCATGTTATTTTAAAAGAAAGATAAATCAGGACTGTTGTGTTAATTTTTTTTTTTAAAAGTAATTCATTAGTTGCAATTATGAAAAACTTTTATTTAAAAGAAAATTAAAGTTCACTTTTTATTTATTCTGGTCTTAAAAAAAATTTTTATCATTATTTTTTGAGTCTTAATATTGAGTCGGAATTTTGGGCTTGTTGTCACTAAAAAAGAGTTAAAATTTGAGTTTCAACAATTTTATTTAAGCTGGAAAAAATAAAAATTTAAAATTTAATTATAATTCTGTTTGTTACAATAAAATATTTTAAGGCGATTATAAAATTTTAATACATGTTTAAAATAATTTGAAGGATAAGGTTTCAACATTTTGGTTTTTATATTGACCTATTAGAAGGGATTTCGTTGTGAAATTTTAACGCTTTAATTTCTACGCGTGAACTCCAATTTTACATTCCTTTATTTCATAATTTTATATTTTTACTAAATAGACCTTTATTATTATACAAAGTAAAATAGTAAGCAACAGAAAGATATTTTTAAGTTTTTATCTCGAGGAAACTATTGATCCATAAAAGCACTTAACATTTTACCAGAAAGTCTGAGATTTAAGAATAGTGCTGGATTATTTATTCACCGATTAATTTTAGAGCTAGTAAATTCTTAAATAAAAAAACAAGATCTGATCTCAACGAGACAAGATGATCGTGTTGGGAATAAGATATTTTAGGTTTTATCAAATATTCATCAGAAAGATGTCAAAACTGGTACGATGATATAACCGAATTTAAAAGTTATGAATTTTCAACT